AGAGATGAGACGTTTCCCATGAGAAAATGAGACGTTTTGTTTAGCGGAAGAACGAAAGATGATTCCCTAGATATCAGCACACGATGAAATCGTAGTTTCTATGAACCATATGACATGACAGGTCGGGTAGATAAGAAATGGAACAGAGGCGAGGAGGAAATAGGAGGTAACTCACAGCGACCATGTTAAGACATCCAATGATGAATAAAAGCCAGCTAGAAACTTGTGGGAAGAGATCACAATAGTGTGATAACACCTGAGCGCCGATTCTTTCCGTCAGTGACACCGACCGTAGTGTGTAGTTTTTAGACCAGTGAGTGTCTTCAGTTGAGACATGTGAAAATGGGGATAGGGGGGGAAACTCACAGAGCTTCGAATACACCTAAACAACCGACACCGTGAGCAGGTCCTAGTATAGGAATAAATTCTTCGAAAAGTCGTTTAGGAAATCCTATCTCGGCGAAGGTAAGTAAAAGGCATTCGAATACTATACGATCAGTATATCTCCCAAGGGACAGAATTGGTAGTCGACGAATGGTGAACGAAGGTGATTGACTCACTGATGAATAATCTATTCAAGATTGACCAGAAAGCTCCTCCTGTTTGATCGGGAACAGTAGAGTATTCGATATAATCACAATCGATATCGGATAATGTAGCGGTCATGGTAGAGTTTGAGGAAGGAACGTGAGACGCAGCTTTGATAGCTTTAACGTCACTGTGTGTCAATACAGTCCACCATGTACCTGCTTCTCTCTCATATACCTCTCTTATTACATTCACTTGACTTCTTTGAACTTTCTTGATCGAATAAAGTGTAAACGAAAGACAAGATCCACTCACTCGGCCATTGTCACAGTGTTCGCTGCGAGACATAACAACAAAGCTACTATACTCAACAATCTCAACAGATTCAACCCGATGAATATCGGTCCGGAAGGTCGAGCGGGTAAGAAAGGTTTGATATCGGGTGACATTTTCGATTCTGATCTGAAAAAGATTGGTCGACCTGCGACAGTAATAACGAGGTGTTAAAGATGGTAAAGTATGCAGTCAATGCTATGAGGTGGCGAGAGTAAGAGTCAGTTGGGTGAGTTCATCAATGAGAACGACCATTTCATATATCTTCCAAACCAGTCCATCATCCCCGAATGGATGGGGAGAGATGGACAATAAAGTCATGACATTTACCCCTACTCAGGGGTCAGTGTTAAACATGTTAGATCAAACCATCAGTAATGGCCTTTTCAACTTTTGAGTGGGTACGATATCATTGTCGTTTGAGGATGTCGACGAACAATAGGTCGTTAGAAGCTCTGATGGGGTGCCACAAAAGGAGCTCAAGTAGAGGGCTGTCGGCGTTTCGGCGTAAAGGATTGACGCGTCTGATTTTCTCTCAGGCACCAAAAAGACCAAAAATGCAAAAGGGGGGATCGCGCTATGACCTCGTGGGTGGAAATCTCAATGGATGGCTTTTTGACGCTTGGACCGCCCTTCCTTCCTTTCCTCACCCCTCCTTACTCTCTCACCCTTATACTCTTTCTCACTCACACTCTTCACTCGTATCCTATCATCATAGACGACATCTACGACACTTAACACCTCCCTAGCCGACAGGTCCGGCAGGAGCGAATCCATCATTGTTACATCTTTCGATCAAATTGATATCAACAACCCATCCCGGACGGTCTCTCCTTCAACTCGAACGGGACTTTGAGATAACTACCCTTGACGACAGATTCACACCGCCTTGGTCAGTTTCATCACCAACATTCATCTTTCTTTCGTCTCTTTCACTTTCATCTCGTATCTTTTGCCCTCATACACACATACATTCTTTTTCCACATACCTTTTGGTCCTCTCTTCCTTCTTCATAGTCGTCGTTTTTCAATAAGAAAATCAGCTGAGCCACTCAGTCAACTCTACATCACACTCCTTTGTACTCGATGCACTTTTCGACTTCCTTATTACTCCTCCCTCTCGTGGCTGCTCATGCCAATCATAGACGACATCACGCTCGCGATGTTCTCAGACCCCTCTTGGTTCGTGCCGGGGCTCCTATAGACAACGGAACTCTGGCCAGTATATCAGCTTTCGACGCTTCTGTCTCTCCCTCCGTCACGTCGACAGGTTCCAGTACATCAAGCACTACCAGCTCAGTCACTTCCACGTCGTTGACAAGTTCCACAACTTCGAGCCTTACATCGTCTACGACCTCGTCCTCGACTGCATCATCCACCACTTCGTCTAGCACCGTGAGTTCTCCATCTTTCGTTAAAGGATATGACTGATGAGTTCCAGACTTCGAGCATAACGTCAAGCTCCACCACTTCATCGGATACCTGTGAGTCTAAAATTGATGCATTCAAACATCTCTGATTGTGTTAGCCAGCGTAGCCCCGTCATCGACCAATCTCCCCAGCTCAGCGGCAGATCTCCCATCCACCCTTCCTTCCAGTGTCACGCCATCGGCCGAACCGACTATCGTACGCGTGTCCAACACCAAGACCATCACTTCGACGTCCAAGACCACAGCGTCTGCTTCGGCCTCTGCTGTCAAGGCCGATTCGGACAGTGACAAAAGTAGCAGTGGTCTGAGCAAACCTGCCTTGATTGGAATTATCGTGGCTGCTGCTATCGTCGGATTGTTTGCTGCCGGTTGGACTGCGTTCAGGAAATGGAAGTTGAAGCCTAGCAACAGGTTTGACAGTAAGATGAGACCTATCGACTTTTCGCCTCATAACGATGCCCTGGGTACAGATGACTTGTGAGTGCAGTCCGACTTCTTTTCGTCCCTCCATTCCCAACTCGCAGATGAGAACCTGGGCTATCTTTTTTGTTCCTTTGCTTGATTGGGTCATTCGCCCCTGTCCCTTTCTCGCTTCCTTGAGATTCTGAGGTCCCTTTGAGTGCTCATCCCCCATTTATCCACTCAAGTCAAGGGTAGGTCAAGCTCATGCTGACATTTTAGCTTTGAGAAAACTCTCCAACGAACAGCCTCTCACAGCTCTGCAGATCGCCAAAGACAACAATTCGTTTCGGAGCTTGACCAACCCCATCTTGTCGACGGCGTTCCCGAACACGACTTCACGGCCGGAGCTGTCAATGGCGCGGGTCATGGAGCGGCTTATGACGCCTACGAACAAGATCCTTATGCTCATGCGGAACAATACGATTATGACGCGGCTTATCAACACCAACCTCCGCAACACGAGTATGCCTACGATGCCCATCACGGTTACGAATACCCTACGCAGGATCAAGCGACTGCTGTGGATAATGCGGGATACGCGGATTTACAGAGAGGTCCAAGTGTGGGAAGTGGGAGTGGACATGGACATGAAATGGCCACTGCTCAGATGAGCTTCCCTGAACCTCATGTACCGGGTAGATCGTACGGTTTGGGTCGTCCCACTGGTGGATCTGATGGACCGTGAGTATGATCTGGGCATCTCTCTACTTTCACCCCATCAACCTTTTTGCCTTGATACGCTTGTCACTTGGCCAGAGTTTCATGTCTTTGGATTCGTATATCTTCTGGGTGGAGAGCTGATGAAAAGATACGCTCAAGCGGCTCAATACAGGTATTAATCACGTTCATTCCATCGGTTCTAATATGAATCGCAGCTGGTCTGCGGAATAGTATATAAATTCAACTCCAGAAGACGTTCATTCCTTGGTTTCAACTCCCGGTCCATGACTTGTCTTCTTTGTTCTCGCGGTGTATGGTATCAAAAGCCTTTCTCCGCAGATGAGGAGTGGATAATAGGTAATTATAGTTGAGACGAATGCCGTAAGAGGGTATGCAATATGCAATATATGTACGACAAAATCATGAATATTTCACTTACACACTTTTATTTGATCACCTATTCACCCTTGTAGTTTGTGTTTTACCCCTTGCAGTCCCGTCGTACGTCGTAGGCCAACCGTCGTAAAGTCGGTCACTCCTAAGTTGACAACAGTAAACTTAATCTTCGTATTCTCAGTTGACTTTGTCTCTTTCTCCGTCTCATCTTCACCTTCGTTCTCTTCACATTCCACACAAGCTCCTTCACACTCACAACTTATCGTTCAAACCTTTTCCTTCCTCTCAACACACTTACTCAGTCTGTACAAACTCTACAGCTATCCGACCGGAAAAACGTTCATTCGATCTTGTGTGAACACGCATTCCAAGTGACAACGAAAAACCTCTGCTGCATTCAAACAAGAGCCATTAATAACTTTTCCAAACTTTGAATTTCATCAGGAACACTCCAAAAGTCGATAAGAACATTCCACGTTGTAAAATCATCCAGTCAATAACTACTGTGAATACATTCCGGAAAATCAATCCTTCAATTCATCAAGCTCATGAGAAGACCTCAAACTTTCGATATCATATCAAACGGAAAAGAAAACAGATTACAGGTTTTTGAAGATGGCTACGGAAAAAATAAGAGAAGCTACTTTAGTATGTCCTCTTCATCTCTTCTGCTCTTCCGTCTCAAATCCTCTTTCCTGATTTTTACTTTTTGTGATAGAAATTCTCAAGTCCGTCGGTCTGTTAATTGGATAAACGAGATCGCGTCAATTACCAGAAAATCCTGTTCATGACGACTTCTCAGGAAACAAGGAAGGAAACAGGGACGATTATCCCTTCTCAGATATATCACCTCGAGCCGTTTTTAGTGAATATGAGAAGAAGAGAAAATGTATGCTAAAGAATACGCTGTGGGAACATCCTTCTGGGAATATCATGGCGCGTTCGAGTAAGGAAAGGTAGAGGAGGAATGAAGAGAAATTTAAGGATTTGAGTGGCATGGAAGTAGATGATGATTTGAGATGTCAGATCCCAAAAAGGTCGGGAAAGAGAAAAGAAAGAAAAAGGAAGGATATAGGGATGAGAGAAAGAGAGAAGGTGGCAAGGTGGAGAGAGACGAGCTGATAACAAGGCATCGGTAGAAGAACTATGTCCTGATTTACCTGCAGAGTTAATGTTGGATAATGGTCAAATGTGAGTCTTCAAATCCCAATCTCACTTCCTGGACTTTCCCCTTTTACTCTATACTCGTTCGACTCATCTTCTCTTCTCTGTAATGTGTCTGAGCATCCCTTATTCAGCGAGAGTACTATGCTTTCAACTTCTATTCTCTGCCCTCTGATAGGTCCGAGCAATTACTCGTCTCGTCAATCAGACTATGGACATCTGCGTCTTAGTTTGAATGTAGAGGGAGGTACATAATAATCTTCAATGCTGTTTAGTCAAGGCAATGTGTTCGACGGACTTGAGGAGATGGATGAAGGATGGGGGATGAGAAGATATTCGTTAATAAACAGAATCACATTCTCAGCTTGTAAAGCTAATAATCTATCCGGAAGAGCGAAAGATGCTTTGATGGATTTATGTTGGTCCAATATAACTCCTATGTGAGTATGTCTTTTTTAATCTCGTAATACCTTTTATTCTTTCATCTTGACCTTGCTTTGATTCGTGCTTTTTGTATCTCCCGTCGTCCCTCCTATCTCTTCGTCTCTTCCTCACAGCCCATTTATCCCTCTGTTTCCCTGTCTCTCTCATACTCTCTCTGTACGAGCCGTTCACATAGCTCATTCAGTTCTCGTACTTTACATCAAGCATCCAGCTTGCTAGGCCCTTCCCCGTGTTCGTTTCTTTCGTCTGCGTTGATCACGTATTCACTCCACTTTTCTGACAACTTACATGAATGTCGAATTCCCTTCGTTGAATTCTCCTTCAACGTTGACCCTCCTCTGAATCTCCTCACCCAGGTAAGATGTCAATTGACTCACGGTCAGAGCAGAAGGCACTTCCATGCGCTATACCGAGGCTGACAAACGACAAGAACTTTTCGAACCTTCTACACGTTTTTTAATCCTCACCATCTCACAACTTCCCACATTTCCATTACCTCCTACACCTCCTTATCCTTCTGATCCTCATTCATCAACCAATCCTCCCTCTTCCCGACCAGATCCAACTTTTCAAATGCCAGGAGCATTACCACCGACATCGGAATATCAATTCCCTCCTCGTCCTTCCCCAAAACCTCCTATCGATCCTGCCACCTCGCAACAGGATATCATTTCTGATAAACCCTCCGAAACCAGTACTGTATCTCCACCTCAGCCTCTTGATGAGGTTGACCCCGCTTTCGTGACACCTGAAATGAAACAACAAAGCACTTTCACTTCGATGGAAACTCCAGAAAACGAAAGAGATGATTTTATGAGTGATACTTATGATCCTATTGAAACTCCAAATGGTACAAGTACATTGAACGGTTATAAAACTCTACAAACTCCTGATACTAGACATAAAGGAAGAACGAAATTTAAAGTTGAGGTTGAGATGGATTTTGGTAAAGAAGAATTGATTGGGTTTTGTTCTTGGAGATTTGATACGGAAGAAACTTTGAGTGAAATGGATGCAGAAGTCGTTTATTTGTAAGTTCAAATCTCTCTATATATATAAGTAAGGGAGATGTTAGTATTGATGAAGGAAAAGATACGAGTTACATACTGCTCCTCAACATAGAAGACAAGGATTGGGGAGACTTCTGTTAAGTAGGTTGGAAGAAATTGGAGGGGAGAGAGAGATGGATAAAGTTATGTTGACCGTTTTAAAGAGTGAGTATATCCTTTAGTTCCCCAAGAGTATTTCAGCTTCTCCTTGCTCTCAGCGTCACACACTATCACCTCTTTACCTTTCAGAGACTTTCTCTCTATTGATGACGATGCGGTATGTGTTCAAATTATCACACATGATGATATTCCCCATTGCCCCACCATCTCAAGAGAAAATGCCTCGGTGAGAAATCACCCAACTATGATCATTTGCTCCTACGAATGTCCCTCTGTCTCCCGTCTGGGACCCTCATCTCTTTCCCTCTCCCATTTCTCTTTCCCTCTCCCATTTCTCTTTCCCTCTCCCATTTCTCTTTCCCTCTCCCATTTCTCTCCCCCCTCCCCCCACGGAGGCCTGTTGGAGCTTGTGCACTAATGTCTAGGGGGGTTGATAGGACTTTGATGTCAGCAGGGTTTCGAATGCCTTCGGCGGGGCGCCGCGGGTATTACTGTTTCTTAGGGCCAAGGCCGCTAAAAATTGGATGACTTAAGTTTCTTCCGGACGAAAGCATCTTTGGGTAGGAGGCCTGT